AAAGTGCTATTTTTGGATGGGCTTGGTCTCGATGAAATGTTATCAAACTTCTCATAAGCACAACTGCTGCCTGGTTGACCTGAAACATTATATAGATGCTACCTGGTTGACCTAAAACATAAACCTCTGCCTGGTTGACCAAAACATCAAGCACCACCTGGTTGTCTTGAAACATATATAAAATGCCACCTGGTTGACCTAAAACATAAACCTTTGCCTGGTTGACCTGAATTCAATTTTGACCTGTAACATGGATAACCCAAAATACAGGCACCTCTCTATAATTAACAGACTGAGACAGTTGACTTGACCAAAAAAATGCTACATAAACCCCAAATGATCCTTTCTTTAATGATAAAATGCACTCTCCAGTAATGTGAACAATCAGCTCAACCTGTCCCTTTGGTGGTCATAAATTAGTAAGGTTTTTCTGTAATCTTTTCATTTGATCATTTTTGTTCAAGAAACTGTTGCAAGGCTAAAACCCATTTTGAAATATCAAAATATCAACTTTTGTGACTTTGGTCAAGGTGTTTCAAATGGATCTTTTTTTATTTAGAATGTCGTCAGTTCCGTGTAAGTATTGAGTTTTCTCTGGAGCATCCCGAAGGAGGAATTCAGTTTGTTATTCCTAAAGGAGAAGGCACAATGGCTCAGGTAGTAAAAAAAGCACTTTACTCTCTGTTTGTTTATTTCTATGTAGTGTTGTTGATGCATGAGCATTTCATTCGTAAAGCTACTCTGCTATTAATAACAGGCTTAATGCACTTGGTCAATGGTAACTATTGGGCTCATGTACCCTTAACTTTTTAGTAATGTCACTGTTATTAATGCAAAGACTCTGCCAGTATGCAGTGGATCAATATATTTCAAACTGTTTGTTGTTCTCAAATCACATATCAAAAAGAGCTCTCGATCTTGGTGAAAAATTCCATAATCTGCAAAAAATAGCAAATACTGCTGTTGTTTGGCTGTGAAACATTCTAATGTTGTGATGAATCTAATCAAAGTAAGTGTTTATTAAACCAAAGCTGCACAAGATAAATGGAATTATTTGCTGCATCATAGACCTTTTTTTACTTCATATCATAACCTCCTTGAAATTCTGTATAATTTCGGATTTTTGTTCGTTATTTACGTATGCTTTTTCACTCGATCATCAGAAGTCTTGTAAATGAGACAATTATGCCTTGCTTTCAGTGTTTGCCTTGTTGATGCTTTTGTTTCTGATGCAGGTATGCAGGTGTGGCTAAAGGTCAGACATACAGCTCAAACCCTAACCCTAACACCTTCAGTTGCACCTGCGCCAATAAATATCCCTGTAACTTATTACATTACACAATGCCCTTTAAAAACACTGACCCATGTCAATAATTTAATTGTCTGCTAAATGCATCTGATCAAGTTTCTTTTTTTCCCAATGATACAGAGATCAGCACACTTGTTTAGCTATGGTTGTTCTAATTCTTCAAGGTAATTTTGGATCCCTAAGTAGTGTTGTTTTAACTGTACATGTACATGTAAATTAGTTCTAGTAATACCTTTTGCATTCGATGAAATTGTTCACCCAGTAGTTTATATTCATTTATGGGCCATAAATGTTGACAGAACGAAATTAATAACGAAATGGTNTACAGAGATCAGCACACTTGTTTAGCTATGGTTGTTCTAATTCTTCAAGGTAATTTTGGATCCCTAAGTAGTGTTGTTTTAACTGTACATGTACATGTAAATTAGTTCTAGTAATACCTTTTGCATTCGATGAAATTGTTCACCCAGTAGTTTATATTCATTTATGGGCCATAAATGTTGACAGAACGAAATTAATAACGAAATGGTCAAATATTATTGAATTGAAAGAATTAGCATTGCTATGAGGCAAACCAGTGCTGGCTATTTACAAGCATGGCCAAGGAGTTAAGCTCAGAACTACTGAGAACAAATCCAGCCAATGATGCAACTTGAGATTAGTTTATCTCTCATTGCTTATACTAAAAACGCTGTGCATTCAAGTGGAGAATCCATGTTATAGTGTTGGTGCATGTGATACCTTTAGAAAGAAAGGAACTCTTGCTTAAAGGAAACTTAGCCCAAACAAGCCTTAGCCTGAAATAAAGATTTTTTTCCCCACCATTTTACATTGTAGTCAACTTTAACTGATTCCTTTTTTTACTTAACAAGGCTGTGGTTTCCTTGCGTGGATTCCTATTCTGAGCTTTGTACATGGAACATTGACATCACTGTTGATAAAGACATGATTGCTGTAAGCTGCGGGGATCTTGTAGAGACGGTATGTCTGTTAGTTATTTCTGTCAAGGCAGGTCAAGCATACCCCCCAAAATTCTATTAATGAATTGATTATTTGAAAAATGAATCCGTTAGTTGTTGAATCTGAAATTTACATCTACCAACAGATTCAACTTTTGAATAATAAATTCATTAATGGAATCTTGGGGGGTACGCCTGACCTGGCTTGACTGTATGTAAAGAATTCAGTGTCTTGACTTCTAGTTCCCATGGATACTGTAAGAACATAATACCTTTAGTTAGTAACTGCCAATTCATTTTGTGGGTTTATACCCATATAGATGTTGTAGAGACCTCCCTGTCAAATCACAGAACAAAGGACTTTAAACATCAGTAACATGTAGACGGATATGTATCAACTTTGTAAATGAACATTAAAATTTGTTGACTGCATGGTTTTACATGTACTCGTAATTACCCGGTAAGTTCCATTTTGCATGTTTTGTTGTAAAATTACATTAACCCATTCGCTCCTGGAGATTTTGCTGAAAAACGCGTGTTGAAGCTAGTCGAGTGGTTTTCTGGTCACTGTCGTGCTATAAAGAGCTAAAACTTACCACAAAACTGGTTTACAGGTCGTACACTTGATGGCCTTCCGACATACACATTTTTGGGTTTAAAAGTGACACAGCAGTCTTGACTTTTACTTTTCGCTTTCTCTCCTCCCCTCTTTTTTCGCTTTTCTTGCCTCATTTTTTTTTCTCTTGCTGGGCATTTAGTAGGCTTCATTTTGGTGGGAATAGTTTTTAGGAAAGCTTTGAGGATCTTAGGATTAGGTGAAAGGAAAGGTAGGTGGGCAACGGAACAAGATTTTCACGGAGATTTTCAGGTCAATGTTACATGGTTTTTTGCCTCTTTCTCCGGTGTCCTTGACTGAATTGTGCTCATTCTGGTATGGTTTGAAAGATTTCTTCACTCTGCACAAGTTAGCGGACAAAGTTGTCCTTGACCGTTAAAACTGATGACGTCACAAAGGGTAGAAAGGACGTGGATCCGCACGGGCGGTTCAGGGGCGAATGGGTTAATTTACAAAGATTTCACGTATGGAGTAGAGAAACTTTAAATATGTATTTTGTTTGTTTCAGGTTATCTAGAAATTTTAATAAAGTTCTGACTTTTTTTAAAAAATATGGTGGTGTAATTTGCCTATTGAGAGTACAAAAATAAAACTCCACAAAATATTCAGACATGGCAAATTACATGTGTAAAATAATCTTTTAAGATTTTAGCGCACATATTTGCCTTGAGGTAATCAAAACTGATTTGGTTGTTAATAATGTACATGAAAAAATTTATTGAATCTGATTGGCTGAAAGCAATGCAGTTTTTAGTAAGCAGTGGAAAAAGGAGGAAATATTCCATGCCAAACAAGGAAATAAGATGCAAATATCTCAGAGAATTGAGTACTGTCATTGGTTGATAAAAAATACATAAGAACCAATCAGTTGCCACATTCCTCATTGGTCCCTTTGAGGTTGTGTGTGAGACTGGGTTGGTTTGTGTTGAATTGCACTTTTCGACTGTTTTGGAAATAAATTTAGATCCAGTAAAATATTTCACGAATACAGTATTAATAAAGGGTAATTTTGTTCAATTTCAAGCTTATTTACCTGCATTTGTTTGTTTTTCAAAAAGTTCAACTGTGCAATAATTGCATTCACCCTTCAGGCTAATGCAATTTTGATACTTTTTGAAAAGCACACTTGTGTGCAGATATATTTAAAATTGAACTGGAAGTCATATGATTGCCTACACCAATATAATTTTTCTATACAGGTATTCACTGCTGATGAAAAAAGGAAAACTTATCACTATACTCTAAGCATTCCTACATGTGCTCCTAATATTGCCTTAGCTGTTGGGTGAGTAACTTCGTCACAGGGTTATAAAAGAGGCTGATGTGTCTCTACATTTATCAAAATTCAAGCAGTTATAGGAACTGCCAACAAATTTTGAAACATGAAATAACCACTCAAACAACAAAGAAGGTATAAATAACAAGGCAAATACAAAGAAGGCAAGGATGGATAAACTTGAAGTAGATTAATAAAAAATGGATTGCAATTGTGGGTTTTAAAAACTAAATATTAGCCTAACAGGTTTTCAAAGTTCATTTTTGTTGATATTATGCTTATGAGGCATATTTGTTGGACAAGAAGTTGTAATGTTGTCATTTACAAGTTGTTTCTTTGCTAACATTGAGTTCCGTACCGCATATGAACAGGTAAATAAAAATATTGACAATGTTGAGCTGTAAAACGTCCCCTTAATAATTAAATACTGGCAAGTTTTTCATTGTCAGTACTCATACAAAGTTTGGGTAGAATTGAAGGTTTAAATTAAATTATAACCACAGAACAGGCAAGAAAATTTGATTCAAAGTCTATGTGTATTTTGATTTGAGGATCAAAACTAAAATAGAAATGTAATGTTTGTAAAAATTGCCTTTAGAATGATAATTACACTGTACATGTATGTCAACTGCAATTGTTTCCATCTTAGAAGAACATACTGCTGAAAGCCAATGCCAACCTAACAATCTTGCCTTCTTGTTAAGTTCATTACTTGCAATTTACTATGTAATAATTGTAATGTGTAATGTGGTTGACATTTATTCCTCTTACACAGACCATTTGAGATTCACGTAGACCCTGTGATGCCAGAAGTAACGCACTTCTGTCTGCCTGGACTTCTTCCAGTTCTAAAGAATACTACTGCATTTCTTCATGAGGCATTTGAGTTTTACGAAGAGTACCTCAGCTGCCGCTATCCATATACCTACTACAAGCAAGTATTTGTTGACCAAGCTTATGATGTCCTGTCACCATATGCATCCATGACAATTTTTAAGTAAGTCTGAAGTTAGTGCAGAGGTTATGTTTCTTTTTTCTTTTTCTTTTGCTTTTTATTTTTTAGTTGTGAATTGTCTACTTGCATATGATGCTCTACAATGAATTTTTCCTGTTTGATCTTTGCAGTTCAATGTTCACCATTTTAACTTACTGTCTCTATATGTGGTTTTTTTGATGAGTGCATGGTTGTAATTTTTATTTTATTCCAGTACAAGCCTACTTCACTCTTCAAGGATCATTGACCAGGGATTTGAGACCAGGAAATATTTATCCCAAGCATTAGCAGAGCAGTTTTTTGGATGTTACCTCTGTCTACAGACATGGTATCTTGTTACTTACAGATAATGTAGTGATTGAATGCTAAAGTTTTGTTCTTTATTCGTTTTGCCAGGTGTGGATTAAATAATTGCTTGTCTGACGTACATGTAATCATGTATAAGGGCCATTAGTAGGCAGGCAAATTAAACAGCTAGAATGTTCTTTTGGTTGTATTTTCCTTTGGTTTCCTTTGAGGCTATAAGTGGGGGTCATACTCATACTTGGTGTAGGGAAATTCCTGGCCCATTGTCCTTAGTGGCAGCCTGTAATTGGTTAGCTAGGGTTAAAAAACTCCATTCTGCAGTGCTGAAAGTGGTGGGTTAGGTTACAAGACAATTGGCAAGGTCTTTCAAAACTTCTTAGTACTATATCAGCTCTCTTTGACAGCAGGCAATGGCAACAGATTTTCTTGTGTAGTGGAATAGCTCATTGTTGTGGTGTTTCTGTGAAGTGATCTGTTATTAGGACTGTCAATATTACTTTTGTAAACAGGTCAGATTACTGGTTAGCAAGAGGAATATCAGGATACATGTTTGGTTTATTCATGAAAAAGATGCTCGGTAACAATGAGTACAGGAACTGGATGATAGAGGTCAGTACTCATTAAGATGAAGCTCACTGTGACTTTAGTGACAAAAACACTTTTTATGCAAGAACATGTGACAGTCCACTTCAGCAGTTTATGAACATTGTACGGACTTTGAGAATCAAATCAGAGGGCCGTAAGTACAAACGTTGGGTTAAGGGGCTGCTGCTAAGCAAGAAACTACAGTCGAAACTTTCTAATACGGACACCGAAGGGACAGAGCAAAGTGTCCGTATTAGAGAGGTGTCCGTTGTATAGAGGTCATGAATATTACGTCACTTTAAAGGCTCCATTGATGGTATTAAGTGTTCTTTAAGTCAAAATTGGGCCAAAAAAGGCTTTGAGGTGCATTTGAATTGTTTAATGGACAGTGCAAATCATTACAATACAAGCGAAAGAGGGTTTGGGACTTATAAAATATTTTCTTGCAAGGCCAGGGACCAATGGAGTTGTCAACGTATGTGGGAAGGCAGTCAATCGGGGCGGAGGATTAGGCATGGAGATCCCATGTGAATATATTTTCACTGGACCGCACAAACTCATTGAGCGTTTGGAGAAGTGCTTGGATCTTACAGAAAACCCAGCTGTCCGTAAAGATAGTCTTTCAAGTGAAAATGTCGAAAAGAAAAGAGGTAGAAAAAGGAAAGCAACAACTGGAGAGTCTTCAAAGAATAAGAAATCTTGATGATAACTGGCAATGACATGTCGATAGTATAATTTTTACCGATTGAAAACATGATACTGTTATCGTATGAACAATGAGACAATTGATTACACTCTGATATGTAACGACAAACAGGAAATCGTGTTGAATAAGAACTGTCATCATTGGAGTGTCCGTAATAAAGAGGTTCAGTTTGTATGAATTTTCTCTCTGGGGCCGAGATTTCGTGTCCGTTGTCCGTATTATAGAGGTTATTTTTACAAAGAATGTATGAGCATTTTCCCGGGATCAAGTGAACTGTCCGTATTAGAGAGGTGTCCGTAAGGAGAGGTTCGACTGTACTGCAGTGTACGCCCAACATTCAACATTGAACAGGAATGGAGGCCTTTATTTACGATCTGTATATGGTGCTTTGGAATGGTTACGTGACAGACGGTCACCCGAGACCTTTAAATGACTAAGACAGACACTGTAATAGGGAACTTAAGCAAAGATGTTTTTGAGCAACACACGTGAGCTTGAAGTGGACTGTTTTCATGCTTGCGCATAGTTGTTTAAACCAAATTTTTTTGGTAAGTCGAAAAGATACTTAGCAAAACAAATTTGGTAGCACCAAGGAAAAAGGGAAAAGCTTTACTTTGGGTCAACATGCATCGCTCAAACTCGTCTTTGCCTAAGCTTTTTCTGTTTTCTTCTTCAAAAATTTGGTTTATCAACTACAATAGCCTGTGTCACAAACGAAACTAAACCTCTGAATAAGTCCGTCTATGAGCCAGCGCCCAAATCCTTGTTCTGGGCTCCACCTTTGTACCAGGATTTGAGTACGTGTTATGATTGGCTTGTTAAAAACCCATTGTCGATTTGCGGTTTCAGTAAAATTCTTTTATGAAACAATTATGCATTACATATTGCTCATGAAAAATGAATTCTGTTAGTGATTACCCCTAGTGGTAGTCACAAGTCCAAAAATTTGGTTTAGGTAATAACTTCGTTAATTGTATAGCTCAATACGCGAGCGGGAAAGAGAATCCTGTGCTCTCATTGGCTACCCGAGTGGGCAAGATAGACCCATCAAATTTTCGCTCGTTGGTCCCGCGAGAGAACGTATTCCTTTTAGCAATACAACAAATCCCTTATTGACCATGTTTGTTCGGTCAAGAAGGCTGGATTTTGAACTCGTTCTCTTTTGCGTTTTTATTGACCTCGAATAAAGAGGAGAAGTGTGACGTCTCGTTACCATGGTAGCAAAAATTTCTGGATCACAATAATGGGGAGCTTAAGCAACAACGACGGCGAGGGCAACGAGAACGGCGAAAAAGGTATCGGTTTATATTAGCAAGACAACAACTGTGTAGGTGCATCACACTTTTTTGTACATTTCTTGGCCGTCGTTAGAAGTCTGCGACATGAAACTTCCTAATTCACGCGCCCGCTTTATGGAGTTGGTGAACACAGCACAAGAATTTTCTTTTTCTTTTCCTTAACTTAGATACGATCCATTCGGATTCAACTTCAACAATTTCGCCAAGATTTTACAAATTAAATGAAATTGAATAAGATCGGTGACGTTTGAAACAGTGCGAATTCTCTTTTTACGTGACGTTTTCGCTTTGTTTTCATCCAGAAATTTTGCTACCATGACAACTTGACGGAACGACTTCTCCTCTCTATCTGTATTGGTTCATCAATAACTCAATTTTGCCATCTTTAGGAGTCCAAACAAGTTTGCCAGTATGAAATGCAAGGTCCCGGCATCCCACCGCTCTACAACTCTGGCTTGTTGTCCATGGCAACTGGCTCCTCTTCAAGCCAGGCACCAGAGTCTCCGTCTCAAGCGAGCCCTAATTTGCATCCTCATTTGACCTCAGGAAGGAACCTAGAGATAGTGTGGAGTAAATCACACCTTGTTATGCGAATGATTGAAATGCGCATTGGACAGGAACCTTTACTACAGGTATGTGAGGTTTCTTGGCCGAATTTTAGGGGATTAGGAAATCATGATATGAAAAAATTACTGTAAACAGTTGGTAAATTCACAGCCACTTGTCCTTCGTTGAGAGTGTTGTACTTGCCAAGGACTATCTTAAGGCTACTAGCGAGCTTAATTAAGCAACTGCACCAGCGACGGCAGCGAAAACGTCACAGAAAAACAGTGAATTCATCCTGCTTCAAACTTCTTCACTCTTATTCCATCTCGTTGAATATGTCACATGTTAGCGAATTTTTCTGGAGTTGAATTCTAAAAGACTATCTAAGTTCAGAAAAAAGAAAAACCAAATCTTTTTCTCGTGTTCACGTCATTTTAAAATCGTGAGATTAGGTAGTTTAACCTCGCCATTATCGTTTTTTAAATTCCCTTGCAGGTATTTAATAAGCTGTTGTCACTTGCAAACAGTGCAGCACAGCCTAAAGCAGACTTCAGTCTCTGGACCAACTTACTTCTCTCGACAAGTGGGGTAAGACATTGCGTTTTTGAAGTATTACTGTTAGCTTTTTAAAGGTCATTTCTTAAATTTTCATTGTGTTGTCTACTTGATATGCTATTTTGTTTTGGTAACAGTTTTTGAAGTCCATTTCCACGGTTTCCGGCAAGGATATCAATGTGTTTGTTGATCAGTGGATGTATCCTTTTACGTAGAGTAGCGAAGAGTGATTATGATAATACACCGACTTAGTTTGGCTACATGTAGAAGGTTCCCAATGTGACTACTGATGACAACAATTTTTATGTAACATTCAGTAACAGGTTTAGTAATGCCGTCGATGAAAGAACAACAGTTCGCGTCAGCGAAAACGTCGCTGAAAAAGTGAATTCGCGTTCTTTCAATCTTCATCGCGATTACCCCAAGTCACTAACTTTTTCAAATGTATAGGTGAACCCTCCTGAAGTTGAATCCCTAAGGACCATATCCAAGTTCAGACAGAGAGAGAGGAAATTTCGTCGTCGCTTGTGTACTTCTTCTTTAAAACGTGAAATTAGGCATTTTCACGTCGTAGTGGTGCAGCGACGGCAAAGAAATGTACAAAAAAGCGTGATGCAAGTGGAAAATTGTTGTTTTGGTTATTAAACCTATTGCTTTTTTGACGTTCTCGTTGCCGTGGCCGTCGTCGGATCTTAAGGTCCCTACTAACCGTAAGCTCAGACGTAAGATTACTGGACAATAACCTGCGAGCAAGGTCTCCATTTCCTTTCGCTTGCCGTTCGCGTGCCACTTCTCGTGATATGCTTGTCGCCAGGGTAGTTCCCGCAGAACAGACCGGCGCTCTTGCAACTGAGCCCCTTGTGCTGAGATTACTGGGCAGCGGTGATGACTAACATGTGGAAGATTCATCTCAAAGTGTGTTTGTAAGATGAACGTAAAATGATTACCAGATGTATAAAAAGGTGATCAATTAATTCGAAAAAATAAAAGACTATTGTTCCTTAACCTTGTCGTAGTTGTCACAGTGGTGTAGCCAAATTCCATGGAAGTTTTGTTTTCAACAGAAAGCGTAACATTGTTGAACTTGAAATAAAGCAGGACATGTCTCGTGGGACAGCTAAATATGTGGTAAGAGCACAGGTTTCCCAAGCTTGGTTAATAAAATACTGTATCCTAGAAAACCTAGTACAAGAAGCGATTTGTAGAATTTGTATGGGAAAATTCACTGTCACTTTTCAAACTATATAATAATAAATAGTTATTTATTTGGTGCTTCATGATTTCTATATCCATGCCATTAATAGAACAGAAAACCAGCAGGCAGAACATGCCAAGAAATCTAGTTACCTGTGTAACAATGGTATCCGTGCGCTAAACTTAATTAAAATGTCATTAGTTGCTCATCGACGCAATTTTCCCATCCTTAGGCATGAATGTTTTGCACTCATACTGAATGTGTTTCACTGACAACCCAGAGTCGCACCAGGGCCTTTCGTGCCACTACACTACTACACCAAACTGCCAAAAAACTGTCTTTCATAACTGATACATTTACAATATTCATAGTAGGCTAACCTAGCCCTTGCCAAACTTTTAACGTAAATCTAACTGCGGCTTCGACTTCGTTATTTATAACAGGAAGGATTATTACATTGTGGTTAAGGCGCGACCCTCTGTGAGGGAGGTTTCTTGTTCGGTTCCAAGCTGTGAACTCGTGGTCTTCTTTCTATTCTGTGTAGCTTTAAGTAGCTTTAAATGCCCGTAAAACAGAGCACTGATGGACAGAGGGGGGTAAAATGACATGAAAATGAGCTCACCGTCTGCCTTAGGTTTGTTAGGGCCTGTTTACCTGAAGTTGGGGTACCCCAGATTGGTGAGGTAACATTGTGGCGGGTCACCCCACCTATCATGTAAACGTAATCAAATTAAAATGAGAGATAATATGGACAGGCGGGTTACCCCACCTAAGTGGGCTACCTCACCTACGTGGGGTCCCCCAACTCCATGTAAACAGACCCTTAGTCAGATGACTATTCTGAGCTGCCGACGTAAAAGAACGACTCTTTACCTTCTTTACCTTTGCCTTTAAAGACTATTTTGAAATGTACTCTGCTTTTATGTATTACATACTCCATTACTGATAAATTGGTTACTAATGATGGTATCACTTGTTTTCGAAAGATATAGGTCTCACTGATTATACCTACATGGGTGGCTAACTGCATAATGTTTACTTACACTGATTGCTTTCTGGATAATGTTTTACTTAATCTGCTTTCAGGGTCCCCTAACAGTCTGTGTACAGGAGCTGGATGGATCGTTTAATCACACCGTGCAGATTGAAGATGTCTACAGCCGCCATGAGCTTCCCTGCCATTCCAAGAGTCGCAGGTTAGTTATCAAAAACCAAAGCAAATATAGAAAAATTACAAGAAAGGTGGGCTTTTTGTACAAGAAAACTGCAAACTGAAGTGTTCTGGTAGTTATAGTAAAATGACGTCGTCTTGCAATTGTCCTATTGCGACGGCTACACTCGCATGTTGCATGTGAATAGACTATATTTTCGACATATTGAAACTGATACTTGGCTGTGAGGCTTGGGGGAATAAAACAAAAGAAATCATCTGTAAGCTCAATAATGAATCATACATTTCTTTTGTTTTATTCCTTTAAGCCTCGGAGCCAAGTATCAATTTTAAAATATCGAAAATAGTCTATTCACCCTATACTCTTAATTATTATCTTGCTCAGTCTTAATCTGCTGGTGATGCTAATTTTGTAATCGTGTAGCTGATTGAGTATAAAGTGATCGATTGTGCCTTCTACGTGACAATGTGTCATTTTTTTCAATAAATGGTGGCATAAATCAAATGATGTTTGGTTCTCGAATTTTAAAAGGAATAAGAAAAAGAAGATTCCTCTAATGACGGGAGAAGAAGTGGACATTAACCTTGATGCAATGGAGTAAGTACCAACTATATTCGCCCTATTAAAAAAAAACGTAGTTATTTCAGCCAATCACAGCAGATACTAGAAAACAGACCAACCAATCAGAACTCGGTGTTGTAGTGAGTGCGTTGAAAAGCGCGGGAAACTAGTAATCAGAACTTATTTAATACAGGTTTATAGTTGGAAAATAGCTCAGATGTTTTCTTTTTTAATCCTTTTATAGAAATATTGATTTTTATATTTCAAACAATATGAATTTTCCACAATAGCACGTCACAAGTGACCTGTGAACACGTTTATATATTGGAACATGAAAGAAAGTGTATAAGGGACATTACGAACGTTAGACTATAAATTGACTTTGCGTACGCGGGGAAAAGGCCAACTAATTGATCAAAGATTTGTGGATTAACTTTAAAACACTAATCGATTATATTTTGATGTTGCCACAGCTCTGATTCGCCAGTCTTGTGGGTTCGTATTGATCCTGAGGTGACATGGCTTCGACATGTAACCTTTGAACAGCCTGACTACATGTGGCAGTACCAACTTAGACACGAAAGAGATGTTATTGCACAGTGTGAGGTACAAGAATTTACTGAACCATTGTTAATAGTCTCGGCTCTTGGCGGATAAAAACGTACATGCGATCCACGGTTCTATCATCCTCAGCCCTCTTAGACTCCTCTTGTTCGCGTACAGTATAGAGAGATACCCATTGACTGCGAAAGAGTAATCGACGTTTGTCACTGAAAAAAGCCAAGAAGCTGCAAGAAGACTTATGTGGGCCCACAATGTAAACTACTGGGTTTACCAGTGATTTTGACAGCCATTACAGCTTTATTTATTTATTTATTTAAGACTTGCATTTTAGGGACCGATAGTAGATAATTGACACCGACGCGTAGATTTTCTTCCTAGACCTCCTAGTGTTGATTATGGCATTCTATTTCGGAAAATGTTCTATAAAAAATGTGCACTTGTACAGGGTCGAGTCAACGATAAATTTTGAAAGTTATTATTCCCATCAGACTTTGGCAAAAAAGTTGATATCAGGAAAGTTGTTGTTTTGAATCATTTAAACACGACTATTTTATGAAGCCTTTTATCGATGCACTAAATATTTATTTTTTTCTTTAGATGTCCGGATTGTATTTTAATTATTATAGCTGTTGTTAACAGTCCTCATTAGGGCAGTGCTGTTAGTTTTTTTTATATGTGATCAAAAGAACATTTATAATAGCAACGAACTCTGGCCGGAGACAGGATAAATGACATGATTGTGTGGTTGAATGAGGTTCATTGTTAGGGCTTATCAGATAACAGAGCGAGTGGGTATTTTCCCAGCAGAGCAATTCTGTGACTTCCTGGGCGTAAACGAAAAAAAAAAGGCTTGGCTACGCCCCTGATTGCTAAACTAAGCAAACTAAGGAACTTGTTTCTTAAAATCATAGGCTATTGCTGCACTAGAGAAATTTCCCACTCAGGCAACCAGACAGGCTCTAATAGATATCATCAACCAAAACGAGTGTTTCTTCAGAGTAAGGCTCCAAGCATGTTTTTGCCTTGCTAAGGTGAGTGTGTCAGTCATGAAAAAAGAAAATGAGTTAACCTGGAAACAACAAAATTAATGTTAAGACTGTAATGATTTAGATTAAGAAGGAAACCGATGGCTGGTGTGGTATCGGCTTAAAAAGGCCTTTTTAAAAAATACCATAATACTCTTTGTTTTCTCTCTAAAACTTTGCATAAGCATTGTCTACAATTTCTCTCAGTTTGGACTTACAATTGGGCGAAGAGAAGCTGAAAGCAATGCGTATATACCAAATGTTGGAGGGAAAACATAGAGTTTAGAGTTTTATGGTACTTTTGAAAAAGGCCTGTAAACAAATTCCACAGATTTGAGGGTAGAGTTTATTTTCTCTCCTTAAAATCTTGATTGGGTGAGTGGGAAGAACTTGTGCCACGAAACGAGTCTATTCTCTAATCTGTTACGCATGCGCAAGGATTAAATATACGTGCTGTAGCTCTGATTGGTTGAATGATTCCCCGCCCGTCAGTGAAACTGCACGACGAACCTGTGTTAACCAATCTTTTTTTGTGGCAGAAGTTTCCCTCGTGTGCTCGGCCAGTGGGTGATGCTCGATATACTAAGTCAATATAATATAATATATTCACTATTGTCTCGTTCTGGCCCCGGTTGCTCAAATGTTGGATAGTGCTATCCATCAGATAAATCACTATCGAGGGAAACCGATTACGCTATCCATTGGATAGAGATTTACCCATTGGAAAGCGTTATCCACCTTACGAACAACTAGGGCCTGTTGTGTGAAGTTTATTGCGTTATTGTGTAAGGGCTAGGGATCATTGCTGTGCTCTTTATGGCATGACTCGAGACTTAATATTCACTTGGTGTATCGTGCATTAGCCCCTATAGGGCGATGAAAACACCTCAGCTCGTAGACTGCAGAATTGTTAACTGAATTTCGTTTAGCTTAAAAAATATCTCCTAAACTTTCCCTGATACATGTATTCTATTGCTGGTTTGCTCGTGACGTCACGGCGGCCATGTTGGAGGTCAAGAACAAAAGTATCTTTCTTTTTGGGAACTAAACTCCATTTTCATGTAAATTCTTCGAGAAAAATTTTATTGTATTGACCTCCAACATGGCCGCCTTGTCACGTGGTTGCAAACCAAGAATTCCAGCAAATTATGTAGTTGTTTAAGATATTTGTAATTGCATTTGACGTTCTTTTATGTTCTGTACAATTGACACAGATTGCTACAGCTTGTGCGTCCAGCTGGAACGGTCACACAACCATGATCGGTATTTTCAGAAATATGTTTGGATCACAGTCCTGTCCACACATTGTCAAGTACAACGACTTCTCAAACTTCATCACCTACTTTATACAAAAGGTTTGTTTAACAGGGGCGTAAAAAAGATGAGCCGTGTAAAAAGGTACTTTCAGTTATGAAGAAGACAATGTTGAAAGGAATAAATTATACCAAACACTTGTGCAAGAGGTGAGCCCCATGCATCTTGTTCGCGTACAGTATAGAGAGATACCCATTGACTGCGAAAGAGTAATCGACGTTTGTCACTGAAAAAAGCCAAGAAGCTGCAAGAAGACTTATGTGGGCCCACAATGTAAACTACTGGGTTTACCAGTAATTTTGACAGCCATTACAGCTTTATCTATTTATTTATTTATTTATTTATTTATTTATTTGAGACTTGCATTTTAGGGACCGTTAGTAGATAATTTACACCGACGCGTAGATTTTCTTCCTAGACCTGCTAGTGTTGATTATGGCATTCTATTTCGGAAAATGTTCTATAAAAAATGTGCACTTGTACAGGGTCGAGTCAACGATAAATTTTGAAAGTTATTATTCACGTCAGACTTTAGCAAAAAAGTTGATATCAGGAAAATTGATGTTTTGAATCATTTTAAACACAACTATTTTATGAAGCCTTTTATCGATGCGCTAAATATTTATTTTGTTCTTTAGATGTCCGGATTGTCTTTTAATTATCATAGCTATTGTTAACAGTCCTCATTACTGCGGTGCTGTTATTTTTGTTTTATTTGTGATCAAAAGAACATTTATTATAGCAGTGAACTCTGGCCGGAGACACGTGATATGACATGATTGGGTGGATGAATGGGGTTCATTGTTAGGGCTTATCAGATAACAGATAGACTGCGAGCAGCCTCTCTTTTTCTTCAGATAATTTGCGTGTCTCGGGCGATTTGCTCGACGGACCAAGAAAATAGAGAGACTGCTCGTAGTCTAGATAACAGAGCGAGTAGGTATTTTCCCAGCAGAGCAATTCTGTGACTTCCTGGGCGTAAACGAAAAAAAAAAGGCTTGGCTACACCCCTGATTGCTAAACTAAGCAAACTAAGGAACTTGTTTCTTAAAATCATAGGCTATTGCTGCACTAGAGAAATTTCCCACTCAGGCAACCAGACAAGCTCTAATAGATATCATCAACCAAAACGAGTGTTTCTTCAGAGTAAGGCTCCAAGCATGTTTTTGCCTTGCTAAGGTGAGTGTGTCAGTCATGAAAAAAGGAAATGAGTTAACCTGGAAACAACAAAATTAATGTTAAGACTGTAATGATTTAGATTAAGAAGGAAACCGATGGCTGGTGTGGTATCGGCTTAAAAAGGCCTTTTTAAAAAATACCATAATACTCTTTGTTTTTGGCCCTACTGTTGGTGGTGCTGGTGTCGGTAATATTGATGGTCATACATAGACACTGATATATGTAGATCTTGAAACTATGCCGAGGTCTTCCTCTTTTAAAAAATTATCAAGTAAAAATTCTTGCATTTGGTTGATCCACACTTTGTTAATAAATCATATTTTGTCCACGTAGACGCTGCCTGTTGCTATCGCCACTGTTAGAAATGTGCATTCTCAGTGCCCACGCGAAGTGCTACAGTTCATCTTGGATTTAATCAAATACAATGACAACAGGCTTAATAAGGTATTGTTTATAAATATGCTGTATTCAATCCCCACCCCCCGCGCAACCCATACCCAGCGACCTTTGTTAGAAATGATAAAATTGTCCAAAACTAAACAACTACATTTAGCAAAGAAGTTTGCACTGTTAAGCGTAGCTGTCCCCTTTTCAGCTACAAACCGGAAAGAGAACTGAAACAAATGTGGATAATTAGTTATTTTTCTGTTTTTTTTTTTTTTCAATACCTGGCTCAACGAACTCCACAAAATTTCCTTAAGCTACACCCACGAAGAACGTTGAAATGAACCCACGATTTCATTTGAACTATAGACAAAGAATCATACACTGAACGGGAAGAAAAAAGAACCTCGCGGCCATTATGGTTGATTCCAACGTCAATTAACCACTCTCATAACCTTTTAGTACACAGACAGTCATTATCGAAGCGCTCTCATTGACGCACTAGCCAATACTGTCACACCTGGTGTTTCCATGGTAACCACTAATAGGTATGTATTGGCTCAATGTTGAATGAATGATTATCATTGTCACCAGTATTGGCCATTTTGTGGGACACTGGGTCGGTATTGTGTCCAAATGCACTATGGGGCTGTTTTGGTGACGTCATCCTTTTTACATTTGTGATAACAAATCAGTTTGCCCTGGAAATTGGGTCAAGCCTGTGTTTCAAAGCGACGCGCTAAGTGCGAAATATGATTTTCTATTTTTGTGCAACTTAAACTCATTTCCCCAAGAAAGGTTTTGCACTTAGACTCGTTTTGAAACTGAGAGTTTTTGGAACTCGAAAATGGTCTATTCGTCCCACAGTCCAAAGTCCAAAAGTGCAGGTTTAACACAACACCGACGCAACCTTTGCACATTCTTCATGAGTTTATCCACCCAATTCTCAAGATTCAACATTGAATCTTAACCTGACGTCTCAATATACTAACTTATAATGTCTGTTTATTATCAGTGAAGGCAAACCAGTGGTCAAGTTAACAGAGGAAACTCAGCTCATCCTAGGTGAAGTTACTCGGCAGCTGAACTTAGAGAAGCTGCTTCCTACCTACCGATATGTTCTATCTGTAAGGTGAGTTTGGATCTGAACCTTACATCTACAGCGCAGCCATCAACTTTTAGAGAAACTTCTTGGTCAAAATGTCCCTTTGATGGTCCTCTATTACACTGTACTAACTTCTAAACCATCTGACCAAGTCTGAAAGCCAGCCCTTGGGTATTAAGATAATTTTACTTTTTGCAACGACGATTGATTGATTGATTGATTCACTTTTATTTGAATACGGTAATTTCATAAGTTACGCAACTTCTTTACATGAAATGAAAAAATCTTATTGAAACAGAATGAATACTGAGTACTGTAAATACTTTAAAAATCTTAATCAATAAGTACAGACGATAAGAGTTACTCAATAGTTTGCTTGCCTGCTGGCCAGTTTTCTTTTGAAATAGCTTTGAATTCGGATGCCTTTATCTCGGTTGGTAATGAATTCCACAGTATTCCTCCTCTATATGAAAACGACCCTTTAAAATATTCTGTTTTTGACCCAGAGCAACATTATTCTCTGGGGTTCTTAGCTTAGACTTATAAGGGTTATTCTCACACGCATTTTAGAAAAAATCCCTTAATTAACTAGGCACATTTCAATTAACTGTATCATACATCAATACGCTTAAACCCCTTTGCTGTATTGAAACAAGCTCTTCCCAGTCTAATTGTCATCTAATTTCTACTGAACGCACATCGTAACCTTGGAAAGTTATTATGCGTGCACGATTTTGTAATCTCTGAAGTTGCGAACCGTCCCGACTTTAAAATTCGCTACAGAGAGGTGCTACTACGGCGACATGAGGTCAAAATAACTTCCGGTGACGTCACCACCTTAGTAGCAACACGGATTTCCCGACAAAGTTCGTGAGTATCAACTGACATTTTGTCGTACCAGAAAGCAAGGCTCAACCCTTTGGAAAGCCTTGCTGCAGTTTGGGTGGTGACATCAACGCAAGTGAGTTAAAGGGACCTTGAGCGACGATGACGGCGAGGGCAGCGAGAATGGCAAAAAAGCTATAGGTTTAGATTGGCTAAAAAACAACTTTGCACGTGCATCACGCTTTTTTGTACATTTCTTTGCTGTCGCTGCACGACTACAATGAGAAAGTGCCTCATTTCACGTTTTGTCGAGAACGTGAACAGAAGACGACTTTCTTTTTCTTTTCCTGAACTTTAATACAGTTTTTTAGAATTCAGCTCCAGAAACGTTTGCCAACATTTGGCGAATTGGACGAGTGGGAATAAGCGCGATAAAGTTTGATGTAGCGCGACTTCACTTTTTAAGTGAGTTTTTTGCAGCCGTCGCCGTCGTTGTTGCTTAAGCACCCTTTTGACGTCATGTCGCCGAAGTAGCAGCTCTCCGTAGCGAATCTTTAAGTCTCTATTTTCTTTACTTTCCTGTGGTGCTTTTAGCACGCTACAGGCACTGTGTGATTTTATGTTAGGTCCAATTATATCGCGAACCACGTTGAAATTCGGCCTGATTCAAGGCTAATAAGGCCAAACGACCCAGGATTGAATCGTTCACCATTTGTTGTTACAAAAGGAAATCAAGATAAATGATAGGCTTGGTTTCAGCCATTCCCTCCGATCCGATCCCTCGGGTCCGGTCCCTCGGGTTCGGTCTTTAGTGGGCCAATTTCCCGAATAGCGGCTGGTAATCGAGCTATAAAAATGATTATTGCGGTTTTACTTGTTCGTAGAAAAAAAAGCAAACTCGCCCAAACGTGCGCTTATTATAATAAATAATTGATGAATACAGGGGACTGTTAAGAACTAACCCCGTCTTCTTCCTTGTGACTAAGAGAAGCCATTGTAATATTTTCAGTTGTCTGAAGGCTCTAAGAGTGTTACAAGTCAACAGTCACGTGCCTCCTGACCCTGCTGCTTTTGAATACTACGCTAGGTGAGTACTAAGCTCTGAGAATTTATCTGATTCAAAAAACATATTTATTTGGAATTTTCGTGTTCGTACATACAATGTCCGTGGTAACGAGACTGGCTTGTCCCTGTCGCGGCCCCACCCTTCTTTGCTCTTCCGCAGCGCGCGTGGTGACTTTACAAGATGTATTACCAAACGTTCACAGAGTTAGTTTTGGATGCGTGTGCAAGGATATACTGTATACTAGGTGATGGCGCTTTCTCTTCTCCGTCGTTTCCATTAACGATACCTGGCAAGTAGTATAGGGCGCACTGAATTATCCGTTTTGCGTGGGAATATTTTTTACGTGCGGGGGAATACATTAACGCTAATGACATCATTGCCTTTTGTCTTTATGTCATGAATAAAATGCGGGAGAATCTGATTAAGATAAGGTCATGTGTTATTTTTAGGTGGACTAACCAGTTAGACAGTTTTTCTAGTTATTTCCAGTTTGATAATGAAACAAATACTTTAAATGGACAATGACAAAACATGGTTAAGAATCCCAACTGGTAGGAGGCGGACCAGTAGGCCATTTTACAAGTGTGGCGGAGGATTTGAACTCGGGGCTACCGAAAACAAATCCAGCTAGCGGTCAGGGCGGGACTTGAACTCGGGGCCTGAAAATTAAAAGTCCAGTTTTTTTAAAAGCTCGGCCACGCTGCCACCGCTGACCTCCCAACTCAACAAAACTTATTATTTAGTTCAATTTCCACGGCTATAAAAGCATTTTAAGGAAGCTCATGTTAGCGACTTGGTGTCTTTCAACGACTGTCGGCGGAAAACATAGTCCAAAGAAGTTTTTGTGATGAAATAATTAGTTGAATAACCCTTGTTTGATGGATGATCAGTTTTTTGTGAGTTATTATTCTGTTTATAGAAACTGATTGATTTTTCGATTTTAGCTTGGGTCACTTTGAAGATGTACGTCTCGCAGCCATTGATTGCCTTGTTGACCTCACCAAAAGTATGTATTGGAATATTAAGCTTTTATTTCTCTTTTTATGTCGAATGCTTATGTTTCTTTGTGTTTAGACACTGGTTTCTTGAAGTTGTTGATGGTAAAAATTACTCCTAATTGAACTCCGATTGATTGTTTAAATTGTTTTATACATATTAGACCGGTTGAAACATTGCAACCAGTTACAAGCGAATATATGGGTTTTTCACCACGTACAAAACGTTTCCGGAAAATCCGGTTGCAAAATAAATAGAACACGACTTTTCAGGTCTTTTGAGTGGAAAATTTCCGGGAATGCCGGAACGGCGGAAAAGTTAGTCCTGTTTTTCCGGTCAGAATTTTCCAAATAGAAATTCGGACTGTTCACCACTTACAAAAAGTTTCCGGAAAATACGGTTACAAAGTTAAAGGCACACGACTTTTCGGTTCGTTCCAGCCGAACATCAAAGCCATCTTTGATACAAGTTTCAAGCTTTCGTAGCCGTTTTTCGGTGAATGGAACCGATTTGTGCAAATGGTACACGCGATTCGGGGACGCCGAAATTTACCAGTCTTGAATTTTGCGTACCATTTGCCCATACCGTGAACCGACCGGTTTTTCCACGTGTTCAATAGTAAACAACCATGTTGTTATTTTTTTTCAGCTGAAAACCTTGAGCGAGGAATGAACTACTTGATGGGATTAATTGAAAATGACCCTGTCCCTTTTATCAGGCAAGTTACTTTAGTCTAAACTTCTCCATTTTCACATTATAAGCGATTTTTATGAACTAGGCTTAACTTTATATAGAGAATGAAGCGGTTGTTGAGGGTCAAGAAATAAAAAAAAAATGAACCAATGAGAACTCGGAGTGAAGATTTGCATCCGGTGCTAAGCGCGGGAAAAATGATGTGATCAAGTTAATTGGTTGAGAAAAATGTCGCGAGATTTTTCAGCCAATCACAGAGCGAACAATACTATGAAAAACATGGGCTCTTTCCATTCAACCAAAATCATTTTCCAAAATTAAAATTTCCAAAAAAGGGGACAACCTCGCGAGGTATACCCAAATTTTCGAAATTTTTTCCTCAGAAGTTCTCTTTCCATTTAACTTTGCTTCCGGAATTTCTAGAATTTTCGGTTGAATGGTTGGCATTTCGGAAATTTAACAGCTTTCGGAACTTCTGGAAACTTTTCCGGGAATTTTCTGTACCATTTGCCACTGTTTTCAAATTTTGGAAAGTTTTGGTTGAATGGAAAGCGCTCCATATGAAGGAAATAAATAAGTAGGTAGACCTCAAAATTATTTGTCTTTGCAGGCATTATACGCTGTGTTCACTAACAAAAAATCCTCCATTCTCAAAGAAGGCCGAGTCCCGTCTAAACAGCTTAGATCTAGTGGAGTGCTTATGGAAGTTAATCAAGTAAGTTGTCATATGTCTCATTTACTTTCTCTTGGATGTGTTCCCTTTTCTCAACAGAATTACGAAAGTTAAATGCGGTCATGAAGAGAGATTTAAAAACGTTGTCATTTCGGGCACCTTCACTTTACTAGAAAGGACTGAATTTAACTCTCTTAATTTAGTTCTCAAACAAGTTTTCTTGTTGCATTGCCACAGGCTCTTTAATCGAGAGCTATATCCTTGTTACGCTTTTTTCGACTGTTTGGTTAAATACTCTTTGAAGACGTAACGGGGTCTCGGCATGTATTTCCTTCGTTATTTTATGATCATTAGTACATCACTTGTCTTTTCACCGAGAAGAAAGACTGAATGGGAAAGTTCTTTTTTGTTATTTTCTCGTTACCGAAGTTTGGCCCTTGTTTTTGTGTGTTGTTTGTTTGTTTGTTTCACAAAATATGCGTGCATGCATGTGAATATGACGAAGGTATGACCTTTCACCTTGTAATCCTATGTATAACCTGCATCGTGGCAGGCGTTAAAAAGGGAACGGGGAGGGGGAAGGGGAATTTAGGCTCGCGAGAGCCTTGCGCCTATGCCCTGCCACACTGTCTTTTGTATGTACGAATAGCGATAAGCTTGTTTATTTACAATAATATCCTTTGTTTTTTAGTTCCAGCTCCTCTGTTGACGCTCGTTTGCGACGAGATGGAGTGGAGTTATATAATGCGTTATGGGGTCGCCTCACTCCCAGCTGTGTTCCTCCGCAAGGAGTAAGTGTGTGTTTTCCCCTCTGTCTGATAATCAGGCGGCAAAGTGCGAAGTATGATCATAGTTTCAACATTACCATGAACACCAGGACAAACCCAGGATTCAAAACAATTTTCTTTGGCTTGTTTTAATGTATTCTTTAATCCTAACTTTAAGCCAGTTTTAAGCAGGCATTGTTCCGGCGTTATCAGGTTCGGTTTACTTTAAAGTATATGGAGAAAATCTTGTGTGAGCACTCCGTAGCAAGGTCTTCGGTAGCTTAAGTTTTTTACAAACGTAATTAACGTCGGCTTGTTTATTCTTCATTTCGCTCATTCTTGGAAAAGGTCAGGGTAGAAAGATGAAAACGATACCGCACTTTGTTTAACCCTGAAATGACAGTTGTTCTTCGACAGCTTTTAAATTTCCCTTTTGTCCCCTTTTTTCCATGTAACCACTAACCAGTGTAGCTGTAAGACGGGTGAGGGCTAACGGAAAACATTATCCAGTTTTATAAAGTTCAGATACAAAAGTTTTGTTCCCAATTTCTTGTTCGAGTCTGCAGTCACACATTATACTAGCACCTAAAACTACTATTGTCTGTTGTTCTTTTGTAGATGGGAATTGTAATCGATTTGAAGGAGCGCAAGATAATGAGCCTCTCTCCTCTTCCACCCCCTGCCTCTCCGGTGAGTGGAACAAACGTCACAAGGCTGTACTTACCTTAAGTCGATTACAAAGAGTTTGATGACGCTGAAATATGAATTGTAATTTAGACAAACTATTAACGATCTTTCTAGTTTGACTTTGCAAGTACGAAAATGAAAAAATTTTAATCTTGGTGTTTTTGTTTGTTCCAGTCCGTTAGGACGGTTTTCACGGTAGAATAAGCCCTTTATTCAAGACCTTTTTGAACTCACTTTCTTCTGAGGCACTTTTAATGAAGATGTAGACCATTGTTTTTTGCCTCTCCCAGTCAGCGGTGTGTTGACCAAGATGGACGTCTAGTTTCGAGCTCCCACTAACTTTGGCAGTTTTTCAGTTTTTTTGACGGTTTTTATTCAGTGAACACGACTGTGAACATGTCTTAGTGAGCTTTGATTTGAACCGTGTACGCACTACTCGCCTCGAAAAGCTTCTCTACAACCAGTTACAAAAAGGGTTTGGGACATTGCATGCATGAAATAATTCTCCCGTTGTTTAGTTAGCATTACAAGATCGTATTTAACAGGAGGGAGGAGAGAAAACCACTTGTGGTCGTAATAATTATTTCTCTGTTGCATAAATATTGCATGTCAATTTGTTACAGGGGTCGGTTAGTGGTGAAGAATCTTCAACATCAAAAAAGAGCCACAAGAGAAAGCACTCTCGAGCGGCGTCACCTGCAGGCTAGTAACAAAATTCTTTCCAGCCTTTTTGTATACACTCTGTATCGTTTAGAAATGTAAGTAAGTTGGTAGTTATTCGCAGAGCCGACGGAACGCTGAAGTTTCGGTCGATGTTAACATAACTTTATTATTTATATAGCGCAAAGTACTTGGGTATATGGTCTAATGCGCTGACGATTGACGATGCCGAGTTTTTTGTTTTTTGTTTTTTTTTTTCTATTCGGCAGGGGCGTGTTTTTCTGAAAATGAGAGTCAATCTTTTTTATATGAGTTGGAACTATATAGCATCAACCTTAACCCTAAATAGAAGCTGTCCGTTTTTCGAGTCAGTTCTTAACCCTAATCAGTATTGATCAGTGCTTAACCCTTATCACTATTCTCAGGGCTTAACCTTAATCAGTATTGATAGTCAATGCAGCCATTGCCGAGAATTATGGAGATGAGTATTAACCAATCATCGCATGGTTTGCTATCAGTTTGGTATGAAACAGAAGAGAACGCAAATTCCCCAACACTACCTTGCGCGCTTGCTGAAAAATTACCCGAGACCATTGTGCGCGCCTAGTTTCATCAAATCGGGAACGCTTCTCATACTACAAACACTTATTTTCTTATTTTCGACTTTTTTTTCAATTCCTTACATATATACACGGGGGGAATTCTATGATGCCTCGTCGGGTTTTAGTCTCTGGGCCAAAACCCTGCGAGGGCTATTGAGCATGTGCTTTCATTTCCTCTCTCTGTATTTTTAACTTTTTTTATTTTATTTTTTTTTTCACTTGTTATACTAGACCTTTGGAATCCGGGAGAGCTGACTCAATCCGAATCCGGAGTAGAGCTGCCTGTCTTAAAGCCGTGCGGTTGTTCTTCGCTTACCCAGGCCTTCTCGGTCAATGCATTTCGGTGCCGTATCCGAGGCGAACTTGCGGGAAACTCCTTCGCTCGGACCACGTGCCCCGAGACGCATTGACCGCACAGGATAGTGAGGCCTAGGGACTAGGAAACGCTTACCTCGTACACACACCCATTATAGTGTACTCAATTTTATTATTAATTTTTTTTCCACACATAGACCTTAGTCATTTGGATTCTCAACCGGGAACGCCTATGAGTGTTGAGTCAGCGAATTCTGAAGCCAGCAAAGTTCGCCTCAAAATTAAGGTAAAGTTGTCTCTAAGATTCGCTACTTAAATTTGTTCCATGTTTTTAGGTTTGAGTTTGAATAGGCATCTTCCAAAAAGCTTAGACAACAGCTATATGTTTGACTCACTGTCGATGGTCGAGTTTCTCCCATGTCTGCCATTTACATAAATTCTTTAGGTGTCACTTGAAACAGTCCAGCGTCCAGAGTCTATGTGGGAAAATAGAGTTGACTGTATACGAATTGAATCTTAGATTTCTTGTTATTCACTTTAGATTGGCGGTGAAGAGAGTGGTGCGGAAAGTGGAGGCGAAGTTCGAATAAAACCCGACCCCGATGGCGGCTCCATCGAGCGTAAAAAACACAAGAAAAAGAAAAAGAAGAATAAACACAAAGATGACCGGGAGAAAAGGAAACTGAGCACGAGTAGCAGCAATTATGACTCACCGCTCATGTTCGACACCAGTCTTCCGTAGGTTTGGTCGATGAAAGGCGAGATAAAAGTTGTAATCAGACTTCTCTTGATTCCAGCCTCGCCCCAAACGTATGCAATCCTTTTTAGGTACAAAGCGGAACGGAAGTAAAGTTTTGCGGTGAGCTGGTTAATCGTTTTCTTGTGAAATGATTAGCACCCGTGTACTCAGCCGACCAATAGTTTTCATTAGGATGACTGCATGCAGTCTTCAACATTCAAGAAGGAAATAGTCGTGGAAAATATGACAAACAAGGGACTCTACACGCTTGCAGAAGAAAGCCGTGAACTTTGGAACATTCTTGTATTAACTTTCCGCGAAGCGACCTATATGATACAAGAATAAAACGCGACAGGAAGATGTATCTTCCCCCCCCCCCCCCCTAACACATCACTTTATTTTTTTTCCCATTCCTACCCTCCCCCTCGCTTAATTACGAAAAAACGGCACTCTTTTCGCACCCTGGTTTTTCCCCCGGAAAAACTATGATGAAAAACAGCAGAAAATTCCATAGCTTAGCTCGTTCATCCTTGAATTGTGTGTGGGTTTTTAGTGTTAAAAAAAAAAAAACAAAAGGGCCTACCCCCCCGCAAAAAAAAAACCGCAAACTTTTGAAAACTTTTTTTATACCTTCTCCCAAAACACACTAAAATAAAAAAAAAAAAAAACCCAAAAAAAAAATTTTCTCCCCCCCCCCCCCCCCCCTCGTACCAAGCCGTCTATCTTCACTCGCGTCTCAAGCTCACCTCTGTGTAGTCTCAGAAAACAGCCGACATTTCTCGACCACTGGTTTCCCCGCGAAATAACGTCTGAGAAACGAGCGCAGAAATTCCATACTGATGAGTGTCAGTGCCTAGATCTGGGTAGTGCTTCTGATTGTTCTTGTCGCGTGGGAAATTTACTGCAGCCAATCGGATCTGAGTGCTGACGTGTCATCCGCATGGAATTTTGGCGCTCGTTTCTCAGACGTCATTTCGCGGGGAAACCAGTTTTCTCAGGCTCGCCTCTGTGCGAAAAACGAAGTGCCCGAGGAGGAGGCAGTGTAACCTCCCTAAAAAATTTAGTAAGACGGAAAAATTATCCCCCATTGACCCTTAAGCGACCCTCATAGGAAGAGCTACAGGACATCTCTGCTGTTGTTCAGTGGACATTTCCATTTTTAACTATTTCGCATGCGTGCGAAATAAGTGCGTGAATTTTAAGTTATCTATAGTTAAGTTGAAAAAGACATTTTATGTAAGTTCAAATTAAAACGGTACCTGTTTTCATGATTTTTATATGGTTTGACATTGTGTTGTTCTAGGTTATCCATACTTCCCCAACTTGCGAAATAACACCTTGAATATTACAATTCTACATCTTTGTAATATTGTTTTTGTCCATCCTTGCAAAAAGATACTCTAAATGTATAAAAATCATTTTTGGTGATCATTTCCACAAAATTATAAAAGAAAGGAAGAATTTGATGATGGCTTATGGGACAGATTAAATAGAGGACAAGGACTAAAAGTGACGTTACACGAGACTATTCGCAACGACGATTTTTAGCGCAACACAGCGTTGTAACATTGTTGTGACATTGTTTCGAATGGTCACAAACTTATTACAACATTGCAGCGCTGTGTGGTGCTAACAATCGCCGTTGCCAGTCGTCTTGTGTAACATCACCTTAAGTCACCCTATGTAAGGAAACCTCTGGGCCGAGTTGTTCAAAGCCGGGTTAAGATAACCCAGGGCTAGTGCGAGATTTGAATTCAGATTTGAAAGCTTAAAAAGAATTTCAGTTTTATTTTTTTTCTGTCTACAAGTTGATGATTGAAAGCTCTAAATATAACAGAGAAAATTATCCGAGAAAATGCTTTTTAAGAAAGCATTTTCTTAAGAAAGAGGAACCCGGGTTAAATTTTAGCCGGCCGGGTTAAGTGCTTATCAGCCTTCGAATAATAATAATAATAATAATAACTTTAATAGTAACATCCTCGTGAGGTTTTTCAGGAACTATTTACAAACTATTTCCAATTTATAAAAGCAAAAATGACAATAAAAACTCGAAATCACAATTTATGATGGTATTCTACTAAAATCTAAAGCTTATGAAGGAAATGTCTGCCTCAATAGTGTGTCTTTCAGGGCGCGCTTGAAAGATGCCAATGAGGCACTTTGCCTAAGTTCATTATGCAAGTTATTCCATATGTAGGCCCCTCTGTAGGAAAATGTGCGCTGGCCTATAGCCGTTCTGTATAGCGGAATCTGCAAAGAGTTCCGTGTACGAGTGTTACGAGTATGTATATTTGAGCGCTTGGTAAACTTGCTCGTTAAGTATTGAGGCGCAAGATCGTTCTGACATTTAAAGGTCAAAACGGAGTCTCTATAGAATAATTGTTCTTTAACAGGAAGCCAGTTTAGCTCTCGAAGCAAAGGTGTTACGTGGTCAAACTTCCTAGAGTTTGTTACGATCTTGCTGGCAAAATTCTGAATAGATTGTAATCTGTTTATATTCTGGAGTGTAGTATTAGACCATACAGATGAGCAGTAAAGCATCTTGCTAAAGACTAATGATGTTATTAACAACTCTAGTGTTTCCTTGTCGAAGCTCCTTTTGACTCTATTTATTTGGCGAAGCTTTGCGAAACAAGATGACACTACACATGAAATATGGTGATCGTAGGTCAGATGGGGGTCAAGAAAGACTCCCAAGTCCTTGGCAGAGTCTGTTGGCTTCAGTGTTTTACCTAAGAATACCACTCTAGGGTCTTCTGGTAACCTGCTTAACATCTGTCTGGTACCGAGGAAAAGGAGTTTAGTTTTAACGGGATTGATAAGTAGATGGTTCTCACAGCACCATTGAGCTACACTGTGAAGGTCTTGTTCGAGCTTTTCAATGGCAGCATCAAGCTCAACGAGAGGAAATGACATGAATAGCTTTGAGTCATCCACATACGATTCTAGTTTGCAAAACGTCGGTGATGTGGGTAAATCGTTGAGGTAAATGCAGAACAACAATGGTGATAGGATTGCGCCTAGGATGTTTAAGGTCTCTGTAGAATGAGCTTTTTTATTGCCCCTTTGGTGTGAGGTAAGGCGGTTTTTTTTCGTGAGATAGGCGCTGAACTGATTCAAAACAATCCTTTCGAGGACCTTTGAAGCTACGGCTAACAGAGATAACGGTCTGTTGTTGGCAGCTTTTTCATGGTCACCGTCTTTAAGAATCGGAATCACCTCAGCCTCTTTCCAGTTGTCAGGAAATGTGCTAGTAAGAATAGAACAATTGATGATGTCAGTAAGAGGTCCCAGTATGACAGGGAGACAGTCTTTTAGTACACGAGCGCTGATCTTATCCGGTCCCGGAGATTTATTCATTGGAAGAGATGTTACAATTCGGCGAACCTCTTCACGTGACACTGTCCTTAAATTGAATAATTCCATAGAGGTAGTATCTATGCCAGTTTCGGAAGAAAAATCTCGGACTATGATGTTATGTTCTTCCCTCAGGGGCTGTACTGCGTCAGCGGCATTTAAGCCGACCTCGAACAACTGTGCCCTGGGCCGAGTTGTTGGCCCAGGGTTAGTGCGAGATTTGAATTCAGATTTGAAAGCATTAATACATTTTAGTTTTAATTCCTTCTGTCTACAAGTTGATGATTGGAAGCTGTAAAAATGACAGAGAAAATTATCCGAGAAAATGCTTTTGAACACAAGAAAAAGAAATCAGGGTTAAATTTAACCCCGGGTTAAGCGCTTATCGGCCTTCGAACAACTGGGCCCTGGAGTTTGGGAATGTTTTTCTTGTGGAATCAGGAATCCAGGAAAATATTCCTATTGGAATCCGGAATGCTGGGCTTTGGAATCCGAAATACAGGTCAAGGAGTCCGGAGTCCTAGTAACGATTGGAATCCAGAATCCAAGAATGGAATCAAGTACCTTAATTCGGGAATCCACGGCGTGGAATCCAGGATCCAGGACTGTCTTGCATGGATTAACAGAGTGGAGATACCTCTGTTGGATTCCCTTAATGCTATTTGAGTGTTACAGTGTATGTACTGTTTATTTTACAACATACTTTCTGGACACTAATGCTTGTTTCAAAACATTCCATATGAATATTACGCTATCTATAAAAGTGTATACATGTATGTCAATTACACGTATTCATTAGGAATCGCTATTTACTTTTAAAACCTCCTTCAGTATTACATTTATTAAAATGAAAAGCATTGTGTGTCAGGACTAAACAAAATTAGATATTTTACTGTTCTATCGACCGTTCTCCGGCTCGGGTGAGTTGTTGCCTTATGGGAATAGGGCTTGGTTGGGATTAGCCTCCCCGCAGACGTCCTTTGGGGTTCGTTTGTCAAGCATTCATTTCTCCCCCACGGAGATATCACAGCGCGTGATTGGCTGATCGTGACACAATAACTAACCGCTTATTGGCTTATTCAAACAATCCAGAACGTAAATGTCGGCTCTGTTTAGCAGACGTCCTTTGGGGTTCGTTTGTCACGCATTCATTTCTCCCCCACGGACGTCTGCTAAACAGAGCCGACATTTACGTTCTGGATTGTTTGAATAAGCCAATAAGCGGTTAGTTATTGTGTCACGATCAGCCAATCACGCGCTGTGATATATAGAGGATATTACACGGTGGCGAGAAGATATGAATTTTATGTTCGAGTGGCAAGAACAATATCTCACGAGTGAGCGAAGCGAACGAGTGAGATATTGTTCTTGCCACGAGAACATAAAATTCATATCTTCTCGCCAACGTGTAATGTTCTTTTTATTATATGGAGAAACCAATTCAACAAAAGCAAAAGGCGGGAATCGTGACATCATTGAACGATACGACACTCACAAAGGTGACATACGGAAAATACGCCACTCGGGTCCCGGATGAAGTGGCGTATGGAATCTACGAGTGGTTTAGTTCCCAGTAAAACACTCTCCTCCATATAATAAAAGTGAAAACGGCACCTACGAATTATTTCTCGCCTTTTTAGAGGAATATTTATTCCATGGATGAGACTCCGAAGAAAGTTATAAGAAGCGAATTATTTTGTTTTCTTTGCAGCTGTAATATAGGAAAGGACCAAGTTCGTGTTTAGAAAAAGCGCAGTCGACATTGCAAGACTCATCAAACGTGCTCTGGACGTTGATGTGTCTTTGTATTCTTCAAGAGAATTATTTATTTGCACAGCTATT